GACGTACCACTGTACCAAACGTAATGAGACCAACTAATGCATATGGTAGGATTAAGCTGAGACTGACGACAAGGGCACCGCGGAGTGCTTTGAGGTCTTCAGTATCCAGACAGGTATCGACGACAAAGAGGAAGACGGGTGGAGCCTGAGCGGGACGAGATAGGGTGTACTCGATGGTCGTGTACTTTGGAAGCAGTTCGGCCGGTAGATTGGTGTTAGAGGTGTCTTTATAATGTGGCGGGAAAGCATTGCAGGTCAAGCAAAACGGACAACTCCATAGTTTTCCTCTGATATCAATTTGGCTGCACGGCACACCATTAGTAAAATTTAAGGAAAGAAGAGAAGAGACATACGGATTGAGAATAGCACGACAAGGGGGTTTACGCGTCACGGGTTCGTATAATACTGGAGGAAGATCTTCTTGCTGCTTCAATGGTGTATAAGGCGCTGATATCCGGACCACAGTCCGCGTCGACGCCTTTGATACACTCCGTTTGAAGGTCTGAATGCTTCGTTGTGATTGACAAAAGCTCCTTGTACTCTGCACTCGTTTTGAAGGTTATCATTTGTTGGAATCTGACGCAGCCGAGAGGGAAGAAGAGGACATGGCCGAAGAATCCGAGAAGTTAGGCACGAGGGGGAGAAGCTGAGAAGCGTGGTCCGAGCGCAAGCCACATTTGGCCAATGGGATGCGGCGCGCTGACGTCGGTCAAGCCACTTGAATATATGTCAACGAGTTATGTCTAATTTTTCGTCTCTTTTTCACTTACTATATAGTCCAGCGCGGTAGCGTAGAAACATCTCAGTTCTTCTTCCAGAGACTGAGATGTAAGTCTGTAGATTCTCGTATGTCAGCGTCAACTGACCAAAAGCATAGCGTACCTTGTCTTTATAGGTACTTTGCACGTTAATAGAGTTCTTCTTCCAGAGACTGAGATCGTACCTTGTCTTTATAGCTCTCTTCCTGCCCGTGCGCTCGCCTGTGATCACCACATCATTTGTGCTGATCGATCGCGCAAAAGGCCGTCTCCAGGAGTTGCACCATGTGGTTCCAAGCCGATGAATCGCGAGCCAACAAACCTTGAAACTTCTTCTTTTCAATAAGCTGCGATGATGAACTCACACATCTAATGGGACACGAAGCCCTACTCCTGTCGGCTGGAGCATCCAGGCAGGAGTAGAGGACACATTGCCAATACTGAACAGATCCACAGGCATAGGCGGAATTAATCATCGTGTTCTTTGAAGAAGGCCTGATACTTACGTAAAATATAGGATGGTTGCAAGACTTGAACACTTTTGGATGTTGCAACAGCGAGAAGGCTGCCATTTGGTGAGTACCGGACGTAGTACACTGAATGATCGCACACAATGGTATCACCCAGCTGTGTCCAGGTGCTTGTGCTCCAGAGCTTCAAATCTTGGTCAAGCGAACTAGTTGTGAGTACCGCATGATTGGGAGAAAAGTTCAATGAGAGTATCTGTTTGGAGTGAGCCATAATAACACGGGTAAGTTGGCAGGTATCTCCTAGTTTCCAGGATATGAGGTTTCCGTCGTCATCCCCACTTTCAATCCATTGCCCGTCTCGTGAGGCCGCCACAGCTCTCACGCCAGCACTATGCCCTGACATTGCCGCCTGGGTAGTACCGTCTTTGATGTTGCAAAGGCGAACTGTTTTGTCTCCTGACCCGGTCACCATCCGCAGCCCGTCCGGTAAAACTGTGCATGCGAAAATGGAGCCTTGTGCACAACAATCTGAAGCTCCTAGCATGATCAAAGCTATGAGTATCAAAGATGGGTCGGAGGTCGTGACTGTGGGCATCTATCCATAACCCGTGGGTAGTACGACTGCAAGGTGCTTAAGGTTTTGAGTCAGGGATGATGTCTATGGTTGTATACAAACTGGAACCACATGTAGGTGAAAGGGCATGAAGATAAGTGATTCATCGCCTATTATGAGGAATTGCGGGATAGCCTTGAAGAATATACAGAAAGTGACATGACAAATAAGTAATATCTTTTCAAAACGACCCTCTCGCTTTTCGGTCAATCGGGATCGGAGTTTCCAAGCACTATGTAAGACCCTGACATATGATATCAAGACGCTCGACAACTTGCTTCATCGTCGGTCTCAGGGATCGGTTCTCCTGAACCATTTCCAGTATCAATGACTCTACGAAGTCAAAGCCATTATATCCCTGTACAGCTAGTATTAGAGCGGTATCTGGAAATAAATCAGAATTGGAATATCGCACATCCAAAAAAGTTTCTTGAATAGCATGACCAATGTAATAAATGTCGGTAGGAAATGGATTTTGCAGTTCAAGGGATTTGAATTCTGGTATAGTATTATCACCCCCGAAGATGACTGGTTCAACAGGGTTGGCAACCGATGGATCATACTGACGAGACAATCCAAAATCGATCAGAAAGTACTTCGTAGGGCGCTGTGTGCAACTATAGTGCCTTGAAGTACCTTTCAAATCACGAGTTCTATGCGGACGGAAGGGATGGAACGAATCAATAAAAAGAGGCTTTGGATGCATCGTGATGTTCAAGTTCATGCAGTCGCTATGGGCTTCGAACTGAGAGCTAACACCTTGAATATCAGGAAAGATAGACAGACATACCGATGAGCCACGTGGTGCTTGTGCATGAAAAAGAGGCCCTTAAACGGAGAGGTCAGCTGCTGAGGGTTTCAAAGCGAGATCGAGTACCTCAAACAGCTGGCGAAAACACTCAACAGCTTCCCAAAAGGTTTCAAATGAAGGGTCAGAGTAGCGCCGTAGGAGAGGCATGACAATGATGTCCCGTTCTTCATCTGGTGCACGGAGGACATCCAGGACGGGAACGCAATGGTTCATAGGGTCCAATCGCAGAGGCTCTGATGTGAGGTAGCGAGCGATGTCAACCTCAAAAGGGTGGTCACATTGAAGGACAGATTTGAGCATAACAAATTCACCATCTGAAATTCGAGTAGCATCCAATACACAAGCGTACTATGTGGTATCATATGAGGGTCAAACTTGTATAATCTAATGCATAGACACATACTCGAGGTTTGATCCAGTCTTCACACGCATACATGTTTTGGGAAGTCCCCAGCCAGGACGGAATCCAGTCTGGTTTATACCGAGGGCGCAGCTGGTACCCACAGCCCTCCAACTATTCATAATGCCTAGACCACCACACCTTAGCTTGCCTGAGGTTCCAAGACTGTCTCCGTAGGACGAGATTCTGCTCCGATGGTGTGTGATTTTGGCCTGCTACAGCCCGGAGACGTCATGGTACTTTGAATGACCAAGTTTCAACAAAACCCAATGCAGAATGGCAAGGAAGTACCCGGGAGGATTCCCATAACCCCGCACTGATCGATTCATTTACTAGTCTCACCTGCAAAGCAAGATCCGCCGTGTCATACTCACAACCCCCACTCCTTTGAGCGTATCATTTGCGTCGGGGTGTTTTCGGGTCATAATGATAGCTCAAATCATTGCTGGACCGGAAACACGCCAATGGATATTTCTCGACTTCTCTCGTCGATATGCTGTTGCTACTGTCTCATGTGAGTTATCTCGCCAAGTCAGTTAGGTTTGGATTTGACGCTTTGCATTCCTCTACTCACTATAAGTGACATCAGGTGTTCTGACCCAACATTCTTTGGGCGCGGAGACCATTATTGAAGGCACGAGAACTCGAAACTGGCAGTTCTTCATCTGACGGCAAATAAGAATAAGCTAGCATAAAGTTAGACTACCTCACGGAACATAGAACGACAGAGAGCTGACCCCTGCAATTGACAATACGCAGCCGCAGCAATTGCAGCCCGAGGCAAAGCGGCCCGAACGTTATCGCGCTTGGCTTCAAAGATGTTAGTTGACATTTGTCCCTCGATGTTTCAGGGATTTCCCAGTGCTATCGTCGGATCACCCAGGAGAAATTCTCAAGAACGGTTCAAAGCCACTCCAGCACATGACAGGAAATAACTGACCGGTATACTGAGCGGGGAGTTTAGTCACCAGAAAATCGACGACGCCACTAAACGAACATTTGCCAGAGTCTCGGTTGAAGGTTGTTCTAGGGAGAGGAAATTCTGAAATTATGTTCACCGTCGTGTCGCCTGAACTCATGACTGATAAAACTCTCAACAAGAGCATGTTGATCAAGATGCGACGTCCAGCTTGCGTCTTTGGAGTTTGAATGAATATACAATCGATCACGGAAATCAGCCACCGTAACATACCACTGTTGCAACGTGACCGCGCACTAAACTTATCAGAAACTGTAAAGTGTCCATCGAAAGACATCCTGGGGTTTCGGCCAAGCTAAGGTTTTCGACTTCTTGCCTCTTGTCACTGATCAGAAAAAGTGGCCCAGATGATATCTTCAATGAAAGGAGGGTCATTGGACCCGCCTCAGAGAAATAACTGTACTAAGGAGAGGCTAGTCAGTGTTGTGAACGATTCAGCATCATTCAGCCTTCATCGACTTAACATCTTCCAATTTGTCACGCAACTCTTGGAGTTTATCGATCAGGCCAGCAGGTAAATCCTCGTATTCTTCATCAAGGTTGGAACGAAATTTCTCGAGCTTGTGAAGCAATTCAGCTGTGCCTCCTACAGTTAGGTCTGAAATATTTCGCTTTTTAGGTCGCATGGTGTGTGATACACCAACAGATGCAACAGACACAGCGATTTGGTTGTTGGGGTTATAGAGTGGATGGTATTTTGCACTATGTTACATAAACTTCTGTATCCGTGCGAGCACTTCTAGCAGTTCATCATGCATCATGCATCATGTACCACCTGTCGTGGTATATCACTATTGCACAAGGGGTGATATATTGATATGCGAAGCTGAGTATTTATTATGCGCATTTTTATAGTTTTAGGCTAACACTTGTACCTAAGCAGGTCTTCCTTTCCCTGACTGGAACAATGCCCGCGGTCTTTTTAAGAAACCGGAGTGACATCTCTCATAGGAATGATGACAGCAACACGGCCGCCTGGCGAAATGGCATCGCGTCTGACTACGATAATGAAGGAATCAGGAGATTGCAGGTTCGACCCCTGCGGTGGTCATTTTGGCCCAACTCCTCTCGGATGAGGATCTTTTTTTTTCCACTTGATTAACTCTACCCATAGTACCCGATATACACCTAAACCCATTTTCCTTGACGTCCGAGCAGAGCGCCCTCATTCGGACTGGTTAAACGGCCATGCCGAAATGGTTCTTGAGTCCTAACTCCTCGACCAATGATTACATGCTGGAGCATGGGTGCACTGAGCACTCGTAGGTTCCCAGGTCATGAGCTCAGGTACGACGTCGACGAGAGTCGCAAGAAATAGAGAATCTTGTCAAGGTAAGCATGGTTGATGCGAGAGAATTCCATCGTCACTGAGGAGCCGGCGTTCCTGTAGGTTGTGCTTCTCGTATTTAAACTTGGTGGATATCATCTTATGTTAACATCATCTATATCCGCCACCATCCCAACAAATCCCTTGACCATGATTCCCACAAATATGTGAGGGTCCCGCTGCTTCGCACGTGCACGTGCATTATCACCAACAATCCAATTAGTAGTTGTATCTGTCCTTAGGCTATGTGCATGTTCAAGGTCTTTCGAACTATCAGATTACTCGCCGTGCTAGTCTAGGCTAATTGCAAAAGCTCTCCACCTCTTCACCACTGCAAATTTCGACTTGTTGGAAGCAAATTATACAGGGATGTCACTAATGTTGTACTGAACTCAGATACAAGTGTGTTGGCGTATGACACAAGTATACTGGTAGATTCACCTACTCCAAGTAGCGATGCATATCGCATCAAGTGTTCCAAAGACAATAAGATAAGTTCATAAAGAAATTAAATTGCAAAAGTTATGCGAGGATGATAACCTGTCGACACGAATGCACATAGGTTACAAACGTGTTATACCCTACACCTGATGTGAATCTGGAATATAAGATAATCTGGGTGGTATGCGTCAAGTATGCGTAGAGATTATCATAAGTATTTCAAAGAGACTCGACGAGAAGCTCGTACACAGCCCTGTTATCCACCCTTGCATTGATTTGCAGAGCGACACGCAATTTACGTCGTTCAAACGCAGACTGATTCCAAACGGTAATGAGCGTCTGCACCTCGTCCCTAGGGCTTCGTGTGAACTGAGAATCATATGCGGCCCCAGTTGCTCTTGTGCCGAATATACCACGAACGGGGAGTGCTGTTATGGGAAGGCGAGAACCCACTGCGCTGAATCCCTGACTCGCGAGACGAGCAGAGATTCCAAGATCCTCCAGAAAGCGGATCCAGTCTGCTTGTTGAATCCCATGTTTCTCAAGTAGACCGGAGGGATAAAGAATGCAGAAACCATCTGCGAGGTTGTTTCCAGCGCAGGGGATTCTGAATGGAGGGAAATCGTTAGATTTCACTCTTGGAGGTGACGGAGTGGAAAAGCAGTTGGGTGGAGGATCCAAGGGCTTGCGAAGAACAAAAGATGAATGTTTGGAAAGATCTACAAAGTGAGGTTCCCAAATGGGCGGTGCTGTACTAGTAGGGGTGTATGGTGGTGGAGGTTCGGTTGACATGATGGTGGTTCCAGGTAGCACGTGCATGATTAGCGTGGTCTTTAACACAATGCTTGTGCTTACTAGTGTTACGCGCGCTTTACTCATGCAAAGACCACCTGCTTGCAATGCGACCACTAATTCTTCATGTATCAGCTCTCAATGATCTCGAATACAAATTATTTATTTCATCCCTGAATGATCTCGCAGTTTCACCTGACACTATCCACGACGATGCTCACTTCGAAGCCATGTCCGTTGGGGTCCGCGAAGTCAGAGCATGGCTGCGAGGCAGATATCCTAATCTACCAACTGCGGATATTGACAAGGTTCGGCCATTTCTACGTCTTCTTCATGTCCTAGTAACAATACGCGTTCTGTTCAGATCTTGAAACTCTTCTCTCCAAACTTGCTCCACACAGATTGTCTTACTGGTGGCCAGTTTTTTGCTGCACTCAGGCTTGTCCTTCACGCTGTGTCAGGTAAACGTGTTGACAGAACTCTCGCATTTGTCCAAGGTGTGTACTACTTCCTTATCCTTCAAATAGCACTGACCAGAATCTTTCCAGCCCACCCAATCCCAGAAGTTCTTGAACGCTCAAGATCAACTTCTCCCTCAAAGCGTCAAGTACACGCTCCCCCTGTTCATCCAGACCAAGCCAAACAATATGCCACATCCTCAAATTCATCCTCTCCAGACATAAATCCCTTTCGTCAATCACTCGAGTCTGATACGCACCACGCATTACCATCTGTTCCCGATCAATCTGACACCCCTCCCGTCATACCCTCCCGTTTGTCACAGAAGATTAGCCATAATCCATTCTTGATGCGTGACAAAGCAAGTGGAACAGACCCTGCTCAGAAATCCCCCGAGAAGCGCAACGATGGCAAAATCCCACCCCTTCCTCCTCGAAAACCAGCACCTTTGGTTTCTCAGGCACGTCGCACATCGTTAGCCCAGTCCCGAAGCGCACCTGTTCCGGCACCATTTGACGCTCCTCGCAGTATTAAACCGAGTCACATCATGAGTCCCCTGATGAGGCAGTCACTAGAGGCTAGCAAGCATGGTCAGAACTTGAAGCGTGTTGAAGAGCAGTTGGATCGTGAGCGTGTTCTACAAGTGCTCAAAACGACGTCATCTGGTTCCTCTGCAAGCAGCAGGCCGCGCAGCCTAAGTCCCACAAAGCAGTCGCGCAAAGAACTCTGGAGTCGTTCGTCTGAATCTGAAGACACATGCCCTGCACCTCCGCTCCCCCGTCGACGAACACCCAGCTCTCCATCATCGACGTCGAGTTCCCTGCCGTCCATCAACCAAGTGGCGAGCGCTACCTTAAACACTCAGTCCTCACATACGCCCACCCTTTTCCGCCCACCACTTCCCACCAGGGAACCAATCATTCCCGGAAATTCCTTCTCAATTACGACACCAGATAGCTCGTCCCATCTACCCGCGCCACCAACTCACCCGGATCGCAGACCCACAAACGACACAACAGAGTTCATCATGTCTTCCTCCACACGTCCAACGCGTTCTAAATCACTGCATCATGCTGTAACACCCCCACTTCCCCCTCGGCGCAAACGTCCCGAAAGTATCCAACTCACTGCAGCATCAAACACGACGGAGTTCCCCTCATCCACATCCGCATTTCCCTCACATACACGAACATCCTCATTCCAGGGCCTCTCTCGCCATCTCTCCCTCACAAGAGACCGCGACACCGTCGACGCTTCGCCAATATCCCACATCCAGAAAACTATCTCAAATTTTCAACTCAAAGCCCAACCGAAACTGGATGCGGCGCGGTACAAAGCTGAGGCAGGTCTCAGTCGGCGCGGGTTCGTTCATCATTCGCATGCGCCAGCGAGGTGGATGGAGGAGGGCGAGCAGGGGTTGATGACGGATACCTATCACGGGGATGATGATGGTGCTCACGTTGATCGTGATCCGTATACGGAGTCTCCTACTGACGACGAGCCAAGCTCAGGGGATGACCTAGGACGGACGAAGAATTCTGCAGTACACCGTGGCGTGCTGAAGGAAACTGACAATCTCAAATGGCCAGCAGGTGAAGGATGGAGACCCTTATAGACATGTTAAGTGTGCGGTCATGTGAGAAGTTTGCACTGATTGTATTAAGCGCTGGGCCCTATAGATACTCACCATATGGTATTCACAAGTCACGATTCAGCAAACATGAGGATCATCGTGCACTTATTACGCTTGTCGTATCTATAGTATGATATTCATCGGGTTTCGTCAAGGTTTCGCATGTGATCTGTTATTACAAATGTCACTGTCACTCCGTGATCCGCTGCTCAGAATAAATCCGCCCGCTTCAGGTATTCGCGTAAGATCCCGTCCCGCACTGCCAGGTTGTTCCTTCATTTCAACAAGTTGCGTAAACCACAGGAGAATATAGAAACACATACCAGATATCAGCGTCACAGACATATTCTTTGTATCCTATCAATGAAAATCAACAGGACTTTCAGCCTGGAACAGAGAAAGAAACCAACAATGACAGATGTCGGGTATATATGGCACACCCGCGGCTCCGGAGAACAGTACCTCACTGTGTCTTTGAACTTTTGTCGAAGGTCTAGAGGCAAATTATTCAATCACGCTGAAAGTTCGCGACACAGTAAGAAATATATACATTTGACAACATCATTCGTTTCATTTGGCCGGTCACCGTAGCTCGGCAGAAAGCGCTTCACCGTTACACCGTTTCTGATCTTCTCCTCGAGAATGTCCATCTTGTTTAGAAAAAGTATGAGGATTGTCCGCGAAAGAAGCTTAGAGGAGCATATCGCTTTCCAGAGTATGAAGGAATCCTCCAGACGGTTGACACGAGGGTCTTCAAGAAGTCGCTCGTCAAAACACGAGATTGGTGCGAGGAATATGACCGCATTGACTTGATCAAAATACGGCAGCCAAGCGTGACGCTAGCAGATATAATGGGCGATGAGCATGAATTGGAAAATCGGCGAAACACGGACTTGTGTGCGGGAGCCGCCAACATCGAAAATCTTCCATTTCGGAGCATCGGTATCTGCCAAGGTGGATTAAGAAAGTAAAGACAAAAAATCTCACGCTTCACTCACCATCATCAATTATCAGATCATGTTCCTGGATATCAAGCGTGCGCAATCGAGCGCGAAGGACGTCTTCATCTGTTGGCTCATAATCTCGTACCGACAATCGGTCAATCGAGTCCAAAAAGCTGCGGGCAGATGAATTCAGAGAAAGAAGGCGAAAAAGGAATATGAATAGGCTGACAAGCCAGCAGAATCCTCGAGTCGGGTCTTCCGTCTACATAGCATGGCTTGTATGCGACTATCCCTCCATAAAGCCTTGATATCATCTTTTCCATTAGCGATCGCGTCTGTGCTGTCGAGTGAAGTAGGAAGGTCCTGCTGGAGGGCATGTCGCGAGACCTCGGTACCTCGGGTTGTTTGAAGAAAGTTACGCCAAGTTCGAGAACGAACAAAGAATTCCGGTGACC